GGGACTATCACAAGAAGCATGAGGGAGGAAACACTGGGAAGAAGAAACCGTTTTCTGAACGAACCTGTTTTAAGTGTAACAGAAAAGGACATATCGCTAAGGATTGTACGGAGAAGAACCTACAAGCGAAGGAGAAGACAAAGGAAGCTATTTGGTATGGAGAAGGAAGAGTCAACGGCCGATTCGTGAGGAAGATCCAGATTGATAGTGGAGCATCTAGAACAGTGGTGGACAGGAGATTGGTAGACTTGGATGACATTGGAGAAGAATCAATCAGTGTCACATTTGGGAATGGCACGACAGGAGAGTACCCTTTGGCAACAGTCAAAATCATGTTTGATGGAGAGGAGTACCAGGTAAAGGCAGCAGTGGTACAGGGTCTAGCAGAAGATGTACTACTTGGACGGGATGTACCACTACACTTACATATAGCGAAGCGACTACCTAAGGAGGAGCAGGGAGAGTTAATGAAGCAGTTAATCAAAGAACAACAATTACACCACGAGGAGCAGGAAGGAGCAGTACTAGCAGTATCAACAAGATCACAGAAGAAGAAGCAGTCAGTTCCAGAGAAGCAGCAGTCAGTTCCAGAGAAGCAGCAGTCAGTTCCAGAGAAGCAGCAGTCAGTTCCAGAGAAGCAGCAGTCAGTTCCAGAGAAGCAGCAGTCAGTTCCAGAGAAGAAGCAGCCAGTTCCAGAGAAGAAGCAATCAGTTCCAGAGAAGCAGTCAGTTCCAGAAAAGGAGCAGTCAGTTCCAGAGAAGCAGCAGTCAGTTCCAGAGAAGCAGCAGTCAGTTCCAGAGAAGCAGTCAGTTCCAGAAAAGGAGCAGTCAGTTCCAGAGAAGCAGCAGTCAGTTCCAGAGAAGCAGCCAGTTCCAGAGAAGCAGCAGTCAGTTCCAGAGAAGCAGCAGTTAGTTCCAGAGAAGAAGCAGTCAGTTCCAGAGAAGAAGCAATCAGTTCCAGAGAAGCAGTCAGTTCCAGAGAAGCAGTCAGTTCCAGAGAAGCAGCAGTCAGTTCCAGAGAAGCAGCAGTCAGTTCCAGAGAAGCAGTCAGTTCCAGAGAGGCAGCAGTCAGTTCCAGAGAGGCAGCAGTCAGTTCCAGAGAAGAAGCAGTCAGTTCCAGAGAAGAAGCAGTCAGTTCCAGAGAAGAAGCAGTCAGTTCCAAAGAAGAAGCAGTCAGTTCCAGAGAAGCAGTCAGTTCCAGAGAGGCAGCAGTCAGTTCCAGAGAAGAAGCAGTCAGTTCCAGAG